AAAAAAGCTAGAGCCGGCCCTGCACTGGCCCTTCAAAAAATTACGCTGTCCCCCTTGCCCCAATTCTGCCAATACACTTCAAAACTGTGTACTTCAGCATTCCTTTCTATTCTGGTCCTGGGACACCCCCCACCATTGCACTGCCAAAACACCTCAACCCTGATCTGCAGTATCTTTGTTCCTTAATCTTGAGGTCCCACAGGGTCTGCTTAAGCAGCTCAATTCCCCTCTCTCCCACTCTGCTAATGCACTTAACCCAATTTGCAATACCCTCTGCTATTCCAGATCTGGAACCCTTTACAAGAACCTTTTGATACCTCCCAATCCTACCATTCAGCAGCCCCTGGAATGCTAGATCTGGCTTTCCCACACAATTCCTGCCAGCAACACCTACTGCTTTTCCGATACATTGCCTGCCTCCCCCATGCTGCTGTCCAATTCCTAGTGCGTAATATTAATTCTGAACTCTGTGCTTTTGGGGCACATGCCCTTTGCAAGGTTGGTACATGGTGAAGTTCCCAGCTGCTGTTGCACTTCCACTACTGACATTCCCAGCTTTGCCCGTGGGATTCTTACTATAGCGTCTCTGTCCTTTCCCATTCACACCGAGCTTGGCACTGCCTGGCTCCATCCGGCCCTGGCGTCGGTCCTGCAGGCTGTTGTAGAGGCTAAGTGTGCGACGCTTGGCTTTGCGCACGATGTGGCAGACGTACTGGAAGATCTCCTCGTAGCAGTCTCCTGGTTCGGTGTAGCTGGCTACGGTGCTGGAGGACAAGTACCGCGCTCGCTGTTCCTGCATCAGCTGGTGCTCCCGCTGCTTGGTCTCAGAGAACTGAGTGGCTATGACCACCAGGCACAGGTTGATCATGAAGAAAGAGCCCACCTACAACCGATGAAGGAAGAGGAAAAAAGTGAGAGAGGGAGGGAGAGAAAAAGCATGGCGCAAAGAGAAGAAAGTAGGGAAAAGAAAGGGGAAGGGGAAAATAAAACAGGACAAAGAGAGAAGGAAAAAGTAGAGATAGGTGAGATTCTGCACAAGAAGGTGGGACTTCAGTCCTCAAAGGAAACCTTGCCTGGCTCACCTTGTTTCTGAGGACAACTCCCTTGATGTGATTTTCACCATGTGGCCCAGTGGCTTGCGCACTGGGCTGGGAGTCAGGAGATTTGGGCTCTATGCTTGACTCTGCCACTGATTTGCTGTGTGACATTGGGCAAGTCACTTAAAGATGACCTGCAAAGGCTTTTATAAAAATTGGACTTTTGCTCTACGCTTTCTTCTTTTTGATGTATAAAAGAAGTGTTTTGGTTTCTTTTCCCTTCTTGGTTTTTACTTTAGGAAAATTGGGAACGTCATCCCTGCTCTTCCCTACTACTTCTGGAGGACTTGTTGGCGGTCTCAGAGCATATTTGATCCTAACTCTCCCACCTTAATTGAAAGGATGGGGATGCTGGATCTTTAACAAAGATGGCTCTTCTCCAAAATGTTAACTAGGCACTGAAGTCAAATAGATATTTACAAAAACAAATAAAAAACGAAGAGCGTTAAACAGTCTGACCAAAAATCCCTTCCTTGCTCAACTTTCACTCTCTTGGCTCTTGTGATGTCCTACTTTCATTAGTCCCCGAATCATGAGAGTCTTCCAGTCTAGACAGGCTCTCAATTGCTCATGTAAAAACAAGCAGAACCCTTCATTTTTTAAATAAAATGTTTCAGGCCTTTATTATCCATTCTACAAAAGCCAAAAAAGGCAAACACCCTATTTTATTCATTTGCAGATCTCCTTTAATCTAGCTATGCCTCAATTTTCCCATCCCTAAAATGGAGACAATAATGCTGAATGCTTGGAGATGTATGGATAAAAACCACTATATCAGTTTTAAGTATCTCCATTGTGGGATCAATCTGAATCTCCATAATGGGATCAATACTTTACTGCAGGGATGGGGATAGAAATTCAACAGGAATGCAAATCCGGTCCACACTAGGACTTTCAACCACTCATTTTGAACAGTGTTCCAACATGGTTGGGATCTGCTCTCCAAAGTGTTGTGAACTGTGATATGTCAGTGCTAAAAAGAGGGATTGTTTTAGAACTCTGACTGGATTTTTGTGCTCATCTGGAATGGACCCTGGATGCGACCTGTGGAGAAGACTGAGCTAGATTCCTACAGAGAGACCCCGGACTCTGGGTGCAGGCACCTGGGAAGAAGGGAAGAACCTGAACTGGATTGCTGTGCCCCTGGAGTGGACTCTGGCTGCAGCCCTCTGGGGAGGAGGAGAAAAACCTGAACTGGATTCCCATGCTCCACTGGAAGGGCTTCTGAAGGTACCACCAGCGTTGTGTTCCCATCACATTCCTTTTTAGATTTAGGACCACTAGCAGAACTACTAGTCCTTCCTTCCCAGGGTGGAATCTCTGATGCAGCTCAGGAATACAACAGAGCTGTATCCAATACCTTCCTATTCATCCTGTTTGGCAGCTCCTCTCCTGGGTCATTAAAAGCATAATCCTCCAAAAGGGAGGGAAGAGCGCAGGTAGGTGAAGGAGAGAACCTCTACTCCAACTCCACTATCTACCTGAGTCAGAAAAGGAAACAGTGGGGATTGTTTAGGAACAGTGTTCAAGCATAACTTCCTCTACTTGAATAGATAATATCCCCCCCTTCACTACCCATACCTAGTCTCACACACACACACACCCACTCACTCTCTCTCTCTCTCACTCACTCACACACACACAGGTGGCTAGAGGTTCCATCATGAGATTCAATCCAGTGGCTTTTACTATTTCAAAGGGGAGACGTCTCTGCTGACATATAAATAAGCCTTTGAAAAACGAAGCCATTCCTGGCCAGATCAGCATTAGGACAATATATGCAGTTTCAAAATAAAATGCTTCTCCCTGCCCTCTCAATGCCCTTCAAAGCAGTTCTAAATCCATTCCCCTTCATCCACAGAGCCCTCCCCCACTTCAGCCCATCTGCCCTTCAGATTTTTTATGTGGCCTAGAAAGGAGGGGAGAAAAAAAGGAAACTGCTGTTTGCTTCAGATCCCTTTCCCCCAGAGGCTTCTGGGTAGTTCATACTCTCATCTTGTTTTCATTGATGAGTGATTGGGAGTCCAAATCTCCTTCAGACATGCCCTCCCCACCACACATACACTTTCCCATTTACATTGTCTCCCTCCCCTCATATGGGATGAACCAGAGCATGGCGTTTGGGAAGAGTTGTTGTTTTTTTTAATAGGCATTTCTATGGTGCCCTTCACTGTGCACAAACTGAGTGGGGGGGAAGGAGGAAGGAAGATTTATCCCCATTTTTACAGATGGAGAAACTGAGGCACAGAAAAGTGAAGCGATTTGTCCAAAGTCACAAAGTATGACTGCGTCAGAGTCATGAATAGAACTCGGATCTCCTGTATCCTAATCCTGTGCCACAAAGCAGTCCTTCCTCCAGGCAGGGCCGGCTCCAGGGTTTTGGCCGCCCCAAGCAGCCAAACAAACAAACGAAAAAAGAAGCCGCGATTGCGATCTGCGGCGGCAATTCGGCGGAAGGTCCTTCGCTCCGAGCAGGAGTGAGGGACCGTCGCCGAATTGCCGCCGAACAGCTGGACGTGCCGCCCCTCTCCGAAGTGGCCGCCCCAAGCACCTGCTTGGTAAGCTGGTGCCTGGAGCCGGCCCTGCCTCCAGGAGCTCATCTAAAATCAAGAGGAAGGGGGAGGAGGAGGAGGACTGGATATAGCTACTGGATGACCAGCTCATGAACCACTCTGCTGAAGTCATTAAATATGATCGCATGTGTTTGTTTTATTCTTAGGACAACAGGAAAGTCCACGGACACACAGGAGAAGAGTCAAAGGGTGCGTTGGGTTCAACTCTGATTTCTCAACTAGTAGCTTCAGGCATCAAGAACCTGCGGTCTTTTTCTGTTAAGTGCCTAATTCACCACATATATATTGCCCACGAGGCCTTTGGCAAGGAGGCTGATAGTTATTATTTACTGAGTGTCAATGGTGCATTTCACAGAGTGGTCTGTCTCCTTTAAGGGCAGTGGGGGCTGGGAGGGGAGAGAGTCAGTCAACCCTGTTCCAAGGCATGGCCCCTTTAAGAACAGGAAGTCCTGAGAAGGATCACCAGATCAAGCTGGGAATGACTCCTGGTGCCTGAGCCACATGGCCACTTGCTGAGTATTAAAGAGAAGTGCACTTAGCTCTGTCCCAAGTGAGAGCCATGTGTGATTTATGGGGGAGGAAGCAGAGAAGGTTCTTCTGGTGGAACTAGGATGAGGGTGGGTTGGGGAAGCCTGCCTGGATTATAGCATAGCCCCAAGACGGGGTTGTGGAGACTCTTTCCCAACAGAAGGAATTTGAGCCCAGGGACCAGGGCTAGAAAAGACCTAGAGGGAGGTCTCCCCAAAGAGATACATGGCCTGGAGTAGCACCGGTAGAGCTTCCCTGCTCAGAGGGAGCTGGGGAGTGGAGAGAGAGCTGGGGCCTGAAGACCCAAGGAAGGAAGGGCTGGAGCGTGGAAGGGCCAGAGGATTTTTTTGTGAGGTCTTAATAAATTAGACCCCAAGAAGGGGAATGTTATTAAAACTTCTGAGTGCATGTGAATGGATTGGAGACCCAAGAGGGGGCACTGAGATGGTGTGATGGCAGTGCCATACCGTGGGGTGGGGTGTGCTGAGACTACTCCCTTGCTACAGGGTACTCTACACAAGCAGGGATGATGACATGGGATCAAGTCCATCCCTGGCTTAATTCCACTGAAGGCAATGGAATTACCCCAGAAATGAATTTGGCCTTGATCTTTGTGCTGAACAGCACTAACCAGTGGTTCATCAGAGGCCATGCCTGCCAAAAAAAAAGTAACATGAGTGGGGTGTGCATAGAAAAAAAATCAATGGTATTCAGCTGCACAGTCTCAGGCTGAGTGTTTAATTGAGGGTTTCAGATGACTGTAAAAATGCAGAGACAAAGTTCAAATCACTGCGAGTTAATCTTAAATTGGCAAGACACCTCCCACCTCCTCTTCCAGAGATAGAACGTTCACCTGTAACATCCAGGTGGTTTGGGAGCATCTGAATTTACTCAGAGGGAACCAGCCCCCACCTTTAAATTCTGCCTTTAGAAAGACACGCACAACTCCTGCTCACCTCAGTGGGAATTGCAGATGTGGACACAAGGCTAAATTCTATCCTTAGTTACACTCTACAAACATGGTTAAATCAATGGTGCTATTCAGGTGAAAATGGGGCCAAAATGTCTGTTCCAATGGGGAAATGAATGAATTGCGAGGAAAAGAAAATTGTTTCAAACTCATAGAAAACACAGAAGGTTCGGTTTGCCCCTTTGGGAGCTGTTTCTTGGACAAACTGCTTCAGACACAACATCTCTTGTTGGGGGTGACAGGGGAATTCTACCAAAGGGTGCCAGGGTGGAGACTTCAGCAGACCACTTTCCATTTTGGGGGTGGGGTGGGGAGAGGCTGTCCCACCATTTTAAAGGATCCTGCCTCTAGATTTTTAAAAGTCTATTGGATTTGAAGAGGGTGATAGACCTGCACCCATCCTTTGGTTTCTCCTTCCTCCAACCATAAACAAAGTCCCTCAAAGAAAAAATACCTCCCTGCATCCATGCTTTCCCCTAGCCCATGCTTCAGCCCATCAGTACACAATGCAATGGGAATGGGGACAGCTTTCGGTTGTCTTCTTGCTGAAGATAGGCTTTCCCTCTGCGACGTTGCACTCCATATGTTTATGGAAATATGCTTATGAGTATAAATATAATGTAACTGGAATATGCTTTATGGAAAGGGTCTCTTGTAAGGTATCATTATAAAACGTATACTCTACTGAGTGTGTTCATCCTATTTGTGTGAATTTATCATTCTTGTATCTAAAACTAGAAATATGAAGTATTACTCTGAGGTGCTATTGTAATTATACAAAGTGTGAGCCATTAATGGTGGCTTGGAATCTTGATGGCTCCCATTAACTAGGACAATTGATTGTAAATGGCTTTGTTTACTTGTAAGCCTTCCTGTATACCTCTGTGTGCCAGCCAATGGGTAATGAAGTCTCACAGGCAGGGCCGGCTCCAGGCACCAGCCCACCAAGCATGTGCTTGGGGCGGCACCTGGAGGGGGGCGGTGCGGCGCTCCGGCCCGAGAGCGGGGCCGCGACTGGGCTCGCCGCCCTCCCCGCGGAGCTCCAGCTGCTGGGGAGAGCGGCGCCCTGGCCGGGCTCACCGCCCTCCCCCCGGCGCTCCGGCCACCAGCGGAGCCACGGCCGGGCTCGCCGCCCTCCCCTGCCGCGCTCCCCGCCGGGGGCAGGGGAGGTGGCGGGAGGCTTTTTTGCCTGGGGCGGCAAAAAAGCCAGAGCCGGCCCTGCTCACAGGACATGCGAACATGTCACATGATACTGGAATTCATCTTAAACCTGTTCCTTTTCCATTTAGAAGGAAGGGTGGGAACCCAGAGAGAGAGAGAGAGAGACCGGATTCCCGCCTTGTGCCAAAGATATAAAAGGGGGTGGAACAGAACAAAGGGGGCTGCCAGTCACGAGAAATCCCCTAGTTACCACCTGAGCTGGGACTAACAAGGACAGTACCGGGGAAAGGATTGGGCCCAGACTAGGAAGGAGTCTAGTCTGTGAAAGAAGCTTATTGGAACATCTCTGAGGGTGAGATTTACCTGTATTCAGTTTCTTAATGTATTAGGCTTAGACTTGCATGTTTTGTTTTATTTTGCTTGGTAACTTACTTTGTTCTGTCTGTTATTACTTGGAACCACTTAAATCCTACTTTTTATACTTAATAATATCACTTTTGTTTATTAATTAACCCAGAGTAAGTGATTAATACCTGTGGGAGCAAACGGCTGTGCATATCTCTCTATCAGTGTTACAGAAGGCGGACAATTTATGAGTTTACCCTGTATAAGCTTTATACAGAGTAAAACGGATTTATTTGGGGTTTGGATCCCATTGGGAGCTGGGTGTCTGGGTGCTGGAGATAGGAAACCTGCTGAGCAGTTTTGGTTAAAGCCTGCAACTTTGGGGGCGTGGTTCAGACCCTGGGTCTGTGTTGCAGCAGAGTAGCATGTCTGGCTCAACAAGGCAGGGTTCTGGAATCCCAAACTGGTAGGGAAAACAGGCTCAGAGGTAGTTTCAGCACTTCAGGTGACAGTCTCAAGGGGGTCTCTATGACCAAACCTGTCACACCCTCTCCTTTTCCATTTCTCTTTTCCCTCACTGGGGATTCTGTTCCTACACTAGTGGGTGTGTAATGGGGTCAACAGGCCAGAAAACAAAGGAATGTTTAGAAAAAGAACACAATGGAGATTCCCCTTAGCCCAAGCCTGGCACCCCACCAAGTGGAAACACTTTATTCTGAATGAGATGATGAGCTAAGAAGGTGTATGTGGAGAATTCCACTGGGGATGGGCTCCAAGAACATTCCTGAGATCCTATTTCCCTACATGAGTGGGTAGCAGGGGGGTACACAAGCGCAACTGAATGGTGCAAAATAGGCCCTTAGCTAGGTCTGTCTCATCTCCACTCCACATCCATTTGGGGTATATCTATACTTTCAACCGGCCTGTGAGCTTTGATTGAGCAAGTGTAACACCGACAGACTCTGGTCGTCGGCGGGCGGGATCGAACCTGGGACCTCTGGACCTTGGTGCATGAACCTCTATCACATGAGCTAAAAGCCCACTGGCTGTTAGCTAAGGCTGTAGAGCAGGGGTTCCCAAACTTGGTTCATGGCTTGTTCAGGGTAAGCCCCTGGCGGGCTGCAAGACGCTTTGTTGACCTGAACGTCCGCAGGTACAGCTGCTCGCAGCTCCCAGTGGCTGCGTTTCACCGTTCCCGGCCCATGGGAGCTGCGAGCAGCCGAACCTGCAGACGCTCAGGTAAACAAAGCGTCTTGGGGCCCACCAGGGGCTTACCCTGAACAAGCCAAGAACCAAGTTTGGGAACCCCTGCTGTAGAGCAAACTCATTAATCTCTCTAAGTGGTCTTGGTGCCACTAGATGGGTCAGAACACCACACCCAAGGAGGTGTGTGGGTTACACAAGCACACTAAAAACAGAAGTGTAATTGCCGCAGTGTGTTGGGATGGGCTAACTGCCTGAGCACGACCCCACCCAAGACCCTACGTCCTGACTTCTGGTGGCTAGCCCACCATGCCGCTCGTGCTCCTGCAGCTACACTGCTATTTTTAGCATTGTAGGGCAATCACAGCTAGCACGCCTACATCTATTTTAGCTGAAAATTACACCTCAAGCTCGAAAGGTAGATGTACCCTGAGATTTCGAAGCTACAGGCTAAGGTCCTTACAAGGGAAGTGATCAAGGAGTGAAATGGAGCCTTCCCCAGATACATCTTATATATTCCACAACCCATTTTAGGGCTTCCCCTCTGTTCCTGGGTCTGGTTCCTGTGTAGCCAGACTCCACGATAATTTTTGAAAACAATCCCTTTTGGGAGGAAGAGGAGGAGGAGGAGAAGGGAGGATGTTCATGTCTGCAGGTCCCAAGGGACAAAAGAAGCAATGGCACCCAGCTTTCCATGCATCCTCTCACTTAGGCTCACAGTGCTCCTGCTCATTTCAGACCCAAGCAGAGAGAAGGATCATAGGCACTTCCTGAGCAATAAAGGGAAAGAGGAGAAAGAAAGGGATCTCAGCTCAAAGAGACAGACAGAAACAAAGTTTAGCTACGGTGAAGCGACACTTTCGGCTGTCAGCCACAATGAAGCTCTTCAATCAGGCTTTGTCTAGCTTTGTTTAAAAATATTCCCTTCTTTTCCCTTTCCATTAGCCCTTATTGCTTCTCTTTTTGTCTCCTCTGTATTCTCCACGTGGACAGTAACTTGGAAACCAAGAGATACCCAGAATCGAGATACCATGGTGATGATTGTGTCATAAATGACTTGACAGGCAGAATTTCTGCACCCAAAAGAGATTAAGTCCAGCGAGCTTGTTAGTGGTTTGTTAATAGTTCTTGCGCACGTCTTTAAAACAAAACCACACAAAAACCTATGAAGCTTCCAAACTATACACTTAACTAATATAAACAACCTTATTTTCCTATTCCTGTCACACTTCTCTTCCTCCTTCCCCTCCATCCCTTGTGCACTACACCAATTTGTTATGTTCTGCCTCTAGTTACACTGTAAGATCTTTGAGACAGAGACTTTTTTTATTTTAGGTGATTATGTCACTCAGCACTTGATTGTGACAGGGTCCTTTGGGTGCTACTGTAAGAGAAATAAATTAATAATAGGAGGAACTACTAGAGACTGCCAAATGTGTAAAGAGGATCTACAGTGAAAGAGGTGGAAATGGATTTCTGTGCACTTGGAATGGAATCTAGATGCAGCACCACCAGGCAGAAGAAGCTGATCTGGATTATAGATTCCCTTGGAATGGACTGGGGGTGCAGATACCTAAGAAGAGGAGAAAATCCTGAATTGGATTTCTGTGCCTCCTGGAATAAATTCTGGGTGCATCCTTCTGGAAGGAAGAGAAAAACCTGACTTGCATTTATATGCTTTGGCATAGACTCTGGAAGCAGCCGCCAGGAAGACGAGAACCTGACCTAGATTCCTCAGCTCCCTGGACTAGATTGGTTACAACTCTTCGCCATCCAATACCTTTTGTTTACAGAATATATGCCCTTTCTCAGATCCTTGGCTTGAAAAGCTGGAACACTCTCAGTCATAAAATAGGATTCTACTAGGGTGAGAGGCCACACTGTACTTACGATTATCAGCAAGATAAAGTAGATAAAGTTGTAGAACGAATGAGCATCCATCACATAATACATGATCTCCACCCACCCTTCCAGTGTGATCACCTGCAAAGAGAAGAGAGAGCAAGAGAGACAACCAGGATGTGGGACTCCTGGATTCATTCAACAGCTGGGATATTCATTTCTACACATGGCACAGGCTGACGCTGGTGAGCAGAGCAGGAGATTCAAACCTCAACAAAGGTGAGAAAATGAATCCATTCCAAGAAGGCCAAATTTCCAGGCCAGAATATCAGTGGGATTCTCCTAGGTGAAGGGACATGCTAACAGAGCCTGAAAGAGTAGGTCTATATACACATGAGATGCGACTGCAGCCCGAGTAGACATACCCAAACTAGTTAAGTACTGGAGCAGTGAAACTGTGGCCGCATGGGCTTCGGTGCAGGCTGTACTAACTCACCCAGAACCCTGGGTAACTACTTGCAGAGCTAGACTTTGTTGACAGATGTGCACAGCTCCAGGATCCGAACTAGCTAGATTAACGATAGTTCAGGTATGTCTGCTCGAGCTGTAATCCCACCCCGTGACTGCAGTCTAGACATAATCTGGAACTGCACTAGTCACCAATTTATATTCATTCAAATGGTTTGTTTCCCTGGAACAAAAAGAAAGAAAACCTGAACTGGATTTCTGTGCCCTCTGGCTTGAATTCTGGGTACAGGCTCTGGAATGGGGAGGAGAAGAAACAGGCCTGGATTTCAGTTCCCACCTGGAGTGGGTTCTTAGAACCTAGGTCTGGCTTACAAATTCAGCCTCCTTTTCAATCCGTAGGGAGAAACACAACAAGACTTGGAATGTGGAGCCTAACTCATTTCAATTAGGGGCTGAAAAAGCATGGGGGCAAGAGAAGAATCTGGTCACAAACCTGGATTGAGGATAGGAAGCCAGCCTTATCTTACCTGAAATATAACGATCCAGGCATAGCCGATATTGTCAAAGTTGATGGCACCCTTATGTGGGTTGGCATTGCCTGTGCGGCACACGTTGTAGTACTGGTTCCAGTTGACGCACACATCACTGACATTGAACTCCTGCCGGATGGAGTTGTAGTAATAATAGTCATCCTTGTCCAGGCAGCACTCATGGCCCCTCTCCTTCAGCGGGGGGATCTCATGACACCCCATGATGCCATTGTCTCCTGACAGGGAGCAGATGAAGGGCATCTCATCGTCCTCCTCGGGTTGATAGTAGCGGGGGAGAATGATGTCGCCTTGTCTAGGAAGAGGAAAAACGTGCTAATGAAGTTACTGTGACAAACATGCACCTTAGTGACATTTGCGGAACTGGGAACTCCCACTTTGGTGCATGAAATCTGCATACAAGGGGGCTTCAGATTTATTTTGGTGAGGGGCTGAATAGAGACATGGGAAGTTTCTTGAGTTGGTCCCTGGTTTTGCAGAGCCCTGATCAGGGTCAAACTGCACAGTCCCAAGACAAACCCCACCACCAGCAGATTTGGGGGATGGGAAGGAGATTTTACAGTTGCCAAAGGAAAGTTTTAATTTTCTCGGGAACGAGGGGGGAAACTTGTGCAGTCAGCTCTCCCACCCAGCTGGCACCAAAGCCTACAACTGATGCAATGTAAAGCAAATGAACAGGGTACATGGTGATGTGCCTGTGAGTATGACCATCAATTTGATTACATTTGGCAGTAAACTTTCTATAATAAAGTACAAAGCCCCAGTTAATGCATAGTTAAAGTTGCACAATTAAGCTCTCAAGAGTCAGTAAATGAAGAAGTTAAAACTGAATGACCAACCTTAACTCTGATCCCTTGTGTGTATATATTTCAGAGAACTTTTTAATTTCAAGATCACATGATATTTCTGCAGTAACACAATCTGTTCTACAACCTTCAAAATACACGTGTATCTGAAATAATCTGTGCTCACCTAATTTAAGACTAGACAATAATGAGCAAATGAAAGGGAGAAGCATTAGGATTTTGCATTCAACCTTAACTCGTGCGTTTCCAGTCTTCCCAGAGCTACAATACACAACCTGAATGTTGCATTAATATAGATTTTTTTGCATTAAATATTGTGGTGGATGGAAACGTGTCCAAAAAAAAAAAAAAAGAAAGAAAAGCTCCTAATTCTACAACTAATAGACACTAATCTATAAAGGCATAGCAGTGCATATTAATTTCATTAGTAAACTGAGACTCTGTCGACTTAGCCAGCAATAGTCAGCCAAAGATTAACTAGTATCTGATGGCTGTGCAGGCTGTGGGTCTGATTCACCTCACAGTGACAGTCGCTCTGCACAGGTGTAATTCCATTGTCTCATCGGCGTTACTCCTGATTTAGACTGGTGCACATGAGAGAAGAACAAAGTCCTGCTTATGCATTTTCCCTTATAAATGCACAGTGTAAGACAGCTTTAAGCAGCTTCCACCCCCTGGTTAGCCCTCCAGTCCCATTGCTGCCCCCTAAATTGTGTTTTTGCAATATTTTTTTCAGTCTAAGATGATCTAAGGACTTAAAATTGTTTAAACGTTTAAATTGATCCAACACTTCAGATCTTTAAGCAGTTTAAACTGATCTAAGGCCTTAGATTTGTTTAAGGGGCTAAGACACTTTAAAGCCTTAGATCAGTTTAAGCTGCAAAGAAGACAATAAGCGTCTGGAGGGATCATGGCAGTCTGGCACTGGCGCTCTGCCATGCAAGATGACTGGAGTGGTGATCACCCACAGAAGTTTTCATGGTTCAGTGTATTACTGAAGGAAGTGAACGGCGCTGTACATGCTCTGTCTGACCATAGATAATAATACTAATTATGCCTATTTCTTATATGGCACTTTCCATCAGTAGATCTCAAAGCGCTTCACAATCTCTCTCCCCCCGCCCCCCCATGTATTTATCCTCACCATATCCCTGTGAGGTAAGGACGTTCTATTATCCACATTTTACAGAGGGGGAACTGAGGACAGAGAGAGACTAAGTAACTTGCCCAAGGCCATACAGGAAGTCCATGGCAGAGCTGGGTCTCTCATGTTCTAAGCCAGTGCCCTACCCACTGGACCATCCTTCCCTTCTTTGGGTAGAGCACCTTGATCACTCTTAAGCATGTGCCGTGGAGCACAGAGATCCTGTCTGACATTCCACATATGCCTAGAGTTTTGTGTGCCAGCTTGAAGAGCCCATTATCAAATACTTGTTCCCTGTGTAGGTACCTACAGACTGTTGTGGAAGCAGAGAACTTACTCCATCCTGAACTTACTCTTTGTTAAGCTAAATACATTAAGCTCCTTGGGTCTACCACTATAAGGCCTGTCTTCTAATCCTTTAACTATTCTCGTAAATATTCCTGGCAACTGGAATGATCGCTTGAGGCTGTGGGCAGCCAGACGTAATTAGGGCTGGACTAGTCCCCAGCTCGCCCAAGAGTCTGGCGGCTGCGAAGAAGGTTTGCAGGCCTCTTTGCCCTCCTTCCCATTCTGATTTGTGCAGAAGGCAGCTCAGTATCAAGGTCGTGGCATCCTGCATCCCTTTTGCACAGGTGGAAGTGACTCTGCAAGGTGCAAGGCAATGGAAGACTGGGCCTCTTGACTGTAGAGATGAGATTCTTTTCATTGGGACAGTTCGAGCTGATTTAGTGAACTCAAGGGGGATGGGAGAGGTAGCAGTGGAATCCCAGAAATGAAGATTGCTCTGGCTGATGCAGAAGAGGAATGCTGCTGTAGCCCACTATGCTGACAGGTCCCTTCCACAGGCAGAGGTAGCTTTCAGAAGGTGTGTGCCTGTAAGGAAACAGGAACCTTTCTGGCTGGGGGAAAGGGTGGAAACGGGGAAGCGTTCGATTTGTTAGCACCCTTGGCACAGCCTCTGGAAATCTTCAGTGACAGAGAGAAGGGAGAAGGAAGTAAAGAGTAGGGTGGGGAAGGAAGGAATCCACACAGACAGGACAAGGGGGTAGCTATCTCCCATGCACTCACATTGTGAAGTTCTCCTCCATGAAACAGCGGTTCCTGAGCAGACCAGCCCACAGCTGTACTCCGATGATGCCAAAGATGAAGAAGACAAAGAAGCAGAGAAGCAGAACATTCCCCAGCATGGGCAGGGTGTCCAGGAGCAAATTCACCAGGATCCGCATGCCTGCAGGTGGGGAAGAGGCAGAGGAGGAGGAGGAGAGATTGAGATGGAGGGAGAGAAAGGGAGAAGCAGAGAGAAGAGTAAAAGAGGGAAATGGGAAAAAAAGACAGAGAGAAAAATTTTAATGAAAATAAAACAGGCAGATTGGAAATTAATTATTTTCCAAATCAGGCTGGATCACTCAGGTATGATCACTACTTCCACCCCCACACCCCATCCCACTCCCAAATGACAGGCAGGGGACAAAGCTATTTCTGTTCAACATCCTCTTTACCCCGGGCTTCACGTTATAGCCCCAGGAAGGAAGGATGATGATAAGCTTGTGATGGGGTTGCTTGCGATAGCAGAGGACTCGACTCTGTGACCCAGGAGGTCCCTGCCAGTCCTATCTTCCTAAGAGGTTTTTGGCACAATCATCATTTGATATAATATTCCATCTTCTTCCTTTCCCACAGAAGGGCGATGAGTTGAAAACACCGCCCTGAAATCCATGCAGATCAACCACCCCAGCCTCAGCTGGCAGGGACTAACAGTCATAAATGCTTTCCAGCTGCCCGGTGACCCATGAGAAATGAGCCCGAGCCCAATTCCTAGTGGGATTAGTATGTACACCACACAAACCCCTCAACAAACTGGCATGGGTTGGCCCTCTCAATGACAGCCTCATCAAAGAAACACAGTGGAGGAGGCAATCTCTCTTATTGGACCAACTTCTGTTGGTGAGAGAAACAAGCTTTCGAGCCACACAGAGCTCATGGAGACCAAACCCCCTTCTCCTCTCTAGTGGTCCCTCCATGACAGGGCTGAGGCACGCTGGAGGGTACTGTATGAAGGAAGCTTTCACTGCTGCCACCCATGCTGTACCTGTTCTCTGGCAAAAGATGGCATTCAGGGCTGTTGGTACAGCACCTCTGACCAGTGCAAACATTTCATAACAAAACAATTTTGGGTTGAAATTATTGCGTGAAGAATTTTGGTGGTTTTGTTTTCAGACCGGCAGGGTCAGGCCAGCCTCCCTCCGCTGCTAAATTAATTACATTTCCTCTGGTCTCCAAGGATGCCAAAATTCTAGAAATCATTCGGAGCATGAAACAAGCGCCTTCTCCCTCACACCGCCCCCCACTCCTCACACACGCACATATACACACACACACACACACACACACACACGCCTCCCGCCTCCTCCGCTGAGACTCCCTCCTCCAGGGGTCCAGGGAATTCCATCACGCAAGATGCTCCATGTAGGCCAGCATATAATTAGCTAATTAGATATTTATAACTAGTTCATTACTTCAGATGGCAGTGGAAGGGGAAGGGGAAGGGGGAGGGGGAGGGAAAGATAAGATTAGGATTCAGTAACAGCCCCTCGAGGCACTAGTTAATCCCTCTTTTATGCCCACTGTCAAGTAATTAGCCACATCAAGTTGTGCTTTACACTATGTCTCAGTTTCCTGTGTTGTTTTGTTCCTACTGCAGGGGGACAGGATGCTGGGCATGAGAAATGTCATATGTGGGCAACAAGGGTGGATGAGGATTAAGATGTATTTGTACTGGTGGAGATGTTTATTATATCTGAGTAAGAAGGTGGGAGAGGAGGAGGAGAGAAGAGTGTCTGTATGGTGAGAGGGTGTGGACCTAGTGTGAGGTATGTACATGAGGCGGACAGGTATGTGTATCTATGTGACAAGATGGTATGGGTGTGAGGGGTATATATCTTTTATGTTGACCAGGTGTGTGTTCCGACCTTATTATTTGTGAGACCCTAAGCCAGCAGAGGGGGGTTCTGATGGTGAATTTCCTTTCCTTCTGGTTCCACTGCTGGAGGGAGTAGAGAGCTTGTCCATGTGTGATTTGATGAGTTAATACAGGGCTTTACATGTTCACCCTGCCATTGGTCTGTGAGTGCAGTGGGGGGTGGGGGTGGGGTGCAGAATTCCAGTATTGGGGGGAATATGCATGAGAGGGAGAGGGTAGAAGGAATGATTGAGCAGTCCCTTTTGGACTTAGTAAGCATAAGTCTTGGGGTGGTTGCAAAGCCCCAGTCTCTTGAATGCCGGGATGTGCCATTAGTCTTTGGCTAGTCATCTTCTAGCCTAGTAAGGCATCAATAGTTCACTAGCTCCAGCCTCTTGCCTGAGAGTATTTGCCCGTATCTGGTTTCCTGATCTGTAATAATACAAAGCCCCACAGTCAAGCCACAGGGCTGTGTGCTGCCAGTCACCCTGACCTCCCAGTCTCTGGAGGCAACCCTTTTACAGCATTACCGACTTACAACTCCTCCCCCTCACCACAGTGCAATGTGCTTCCAGCAACAATACTGCCACACATTGTGATCTTATTAGCTCTCATTAGCTAGACTGGGTCAGGCTGGGTAATACGTAGATGGGAGACCTGCAGGGAAACCCAGGCCTCATAGGAGGCTGTGCAGGTAATGCAGTAGGTGATCGACTGCCTTTCCACTGAGTCACTGCTAAACCAATGCTCCATCCTAGTATTTGGGGGATGGTGCTAACTTTCAGATGAGCCATAGACCGGAGGTCCTGACTACAGCCGGTCAGAGAGATTCAGAGGAAACATTGTTTTGTCAGAATTTGCCAAATTGGAGAAATGGAAACAGTTCACGGATCGTGCAATTTTGCGGAAGTTCCAATGGAACACAGGCAGATTCCAAAAGCTCCCTGCCTCTCCTGTGTCCCGCTTCCTGCGAGGCTCCTCATCAAGCTGGGAATTACACAGACTTAACACAGTACGAAATAATGAAAACATTTGCAAGAGACTCTGGGCTGAGCATGCAACAATGAAATGTCAGGTGATGTGTAGAGAGACAAGGCGGGTGAGGTAATATCTTTTATTGGACAAATGTCTGTTGGTGAGAGGGACATGCTTTTGAGCTTACACAGAGCTCTCTTTCAGGTCTGGGAAACATAGTCAGGTCTGGTCTACACTATAGACCAATATCAGTATAGCTACGTCACTCAGGGGTGTGAAAAATCCACATCCCACGAATAACACAGTTTTACCGTCCTAACTTCTGTGTAGACAGCGCTATGTCAGGGGGAGGGTTTCTCCCACCAACACAGGTACCGCCTCTCAGGGAGGTGGATTAACTACGCCAATGGGAGAGCTCTCTCCTGTCGACATAGAGCATCTTTCATTAAAGCGCTATTCTATAGCGGCGCAGCTGCATCGGTGCAGGTTTGCCGAAGCAGCATTTTAAGTGTAGGCTTGCCCTCGGGGTATCACAGCTAAATGCAAGGTGGAATAGATTGTTTAGCATAAGTAGTTAACACATATTTCAAGGGACCCCCATTAACACCCCTCCAGTCATAGGGGGAACAAGAAGGAGGGGGGATGGAAAGGCAGCTGGAGAGGTGGTTGTGAATGGATTACAGATTGTTGTAATAAGATATAAACCCCGTGTTTCTATTCAGTCTATGATTTTTAGTGACTAGCAGAGTTATGAAGTTAAGCTCCTAGGCTTGTCTTTTGAAAGTGTTGTGTGGGTTTCCTTTGAGAACGAGGACTAAGAGGTCAGCTATACAGTGATGGTGTTGTGAAACGTGTTCAATCACAGGTAATATGGTGCTTTTGTCTTTTATCATTTTTCTGCGTGAGTTCATTCGAGCGTGTAGTGATTGTCTACTTCACCCACATAGTTGCTATTGGGGCATTTGGGGTATGTCTGCACAGGGATAAAAAACCCACCACTGACCTGCATCAGCTGACTCAGGCTTGCAGGGCCCAGGCTCTGGGGCTGCAAGATTGCTGTATGGACCTTTGGGCTTGGGATGGAGCTCGAGCTCTGGGACACTGTGCACGTGGAGGGCTGCACTGCAGGACATTTATCCCCGTGTAGCCCATACCCATAGTGCACTGGATGAGGTACACCACATGTTGTGATAGGCATGTGTAGGACCCATGGATCTTGAAAGGTATGTCGTGGGAGGTGTTGATCATTGAAGCAGTGGAGATATGTCTACAGGTTTTGCACCTGTTGTTCTGGCAGGATCTGGGGCTGCTTCGAGTTGGTGTGTCTGGCCTGTAGGGAGCTTGCTTCTGATGATGAATCTGGAGAGGCTGGGGGGTTGTCTGAAGGCCAGAAAAGGGGGTTCAGGAAAGATTTCTTTCAGGATGGGGTCCTCATCAAGTAGGGGTTGTGGTTGTTGGATGATACTCGGTATGGGTTCCAGTGTGGGGTGGTAGGTGACCACTAGGGATATGTGGTCGGAGAGGGTTTTATTTCCATATTGGAGCAGGTTCTTTCGGGGTATTTGGGTGGCCTGTTCCACAATATGATCTGCTTCTCTGGTGGAGTGTCCTTGTTTGGTGAAGGTGGTTTTAAGTGTATTACAGTGTATACCCCAGACTTTCTCCTCGGAGCATATTCTGTGGTATCTGAGTGCCTGGCTGTAGATAACAGATTTCTTGGTGTGTCTGGGGTGGGTCCTGGATCTGTGAAGGTAGGTGTGGTGATCCATGGGTTTCTTGTATCTAGCTGTCTATAGGGTTCCAGTGTTGACGCTGATTGTGGTATCCAGGAAGTTGATGCTGGTGTGGGAGTGTTCCAGAAAGAGTTTAATGGACAGGTGGTGATAGTTGTAGTGGAAATCTGTGAGGGAGTTTAAATCATCTGTCCAGAGGATGAAAATATCATCTAGGTATCTCAGGTATATCATTAGTGTTGTGGTGCATTTGTGATGTGTTACTTACACAGCTCATTAGTGCCTCTTTGGATTGTTTTAAATGAATTTAACCTATTAAAATTTGTGGGCCGTGTGTGGAATGAAGGCTGGGGATCAGCAAGGAAAGAAGCAAGTTTTGAGGTAGGGTTTGAATCAGAAGAGTGGGGTTGCACTGTGCCTGGGGACAGGGACGCTGTTCACAGGGGATAGCATGAAAAAAGGCAAACATCTCTCTCTGCTTCTGTCTACCCAAATACTGCCTGCTTCTATATCTAGTCTCTGGTTTCTAAAAATTCCCACCAAAGAGCAGACCACAGAAAA